ATTTTGGGCCATTTGGGGTGGTTTGGGGGTGAGGGGGTGGGTTGGGGGTTAAATAGGAGAAGCCAAAAAAAAAATTACAAACCGGGTGGCCCGGCCCGGCCCGGAACCGGTGGCTACCGGTTCGGGCTCGGGCCCAACAAAACAGAACCGCGAACCGGCCGGGCCCGAACCGGAACCGGTCCACCCCTAGATGCACGGTACATAAATTCTTTAAATTATATATAGGTCCAATGTAATAAAAGTAATATATTTTTGGATAAATCATATAGGTGCAAAAAAATAAAATTATATAATGATCAGATTGAAAATGCAAATATGATTATTTTTGGACAAATCATACGAAGTATTAACTACTCTGTACTAAGCAATGAATAGATATGTATACAATGTTCTCTCGCGTTGAATTGTGTAATACTTCGTAATACTGTAGATGACCATTTTGGCTATTTTTACATATTATTTTTTTCATTATTTTTTTTATAAAATATACTTTTGTATTTTAATTTTTCCCCCTTAAATTAGCACAATCTACCAATGGAGCCACTTCAGCCAGAACTTCAAAGAGGAAGAAAACATACTTCTATCGTATAAAAGTTTGATAATCATATGAAATAAAAAGCAATTTCTTGTGTTAAAGTTTTTAATTAAAGGATTATTAGCTAAATATATCCTCAACTATCATCAAATTCACAAATTTATCCTATACTTTCACTTGTATTATAAAAAGACTCAAACTTCAATTTTTCTAACAATTACACTTTCAATAAATGAATTAGTAAAACTTAAGAAGAAAATCATATTTATATTTCATATTTTTTCATTCTTTTAGTTTTTAGTTTACAAACATGTATTGATTATATCTTATTGGTATTGATAAAAATGTGTAATTTTGAAAAAACAAAAAAGAAAAGCATAAATGTTGAAAAAGATGAAGTTTAAATCTTTTTTTAATAAAAATGAAAGAATAGGATATATTTGTGAATTTGATGATAATTTGGGATAAAATAAGCTAATAATCCTTAATTAAAATAACCATACACGTAGCAAGATATTCATCAACTTAAGTATGCATTTGGGGTGTAATACAACCCACACACATTGTTTTCAATGAACTGGATATTCGTTCTTGATACCTTCGTTTATCGATCTGAAATGCGCAAAAAAACATATTCACCCTTGCCTCTAAAATTCAAAGAAATTTATACTTCGGTATAACCCAAGGAGAGATAGCAAGATCTAGTCTGGAAACACAGATGAAAAAGTTGTCGTGCAAGAGAGACGTGAAGCTTCCAGTCTTGCATCTTCATACAACGGTTTCTTTTAATTTTTGGATGAAAAACACATATAGCTTGAATACAGATTTCAAACAGAAGCTTCCACCGAAGTAGATCGAGTCGGTCAACTCTCCGAGCAGGCCTCCGACGAAGATCTGGTTTCCCAAGTAATTCAGACCACCTTCGCTGAAGATATGAGCCCCAACCTTGAACCCTACCGCCTGATCAAACTTCATCCCATTCTCGGCCAACAGCTCCAGGATGCAGCCCAGCGTCGCCAACCTGCTGTAGATCACCTCCAGCTCTCAGTTCCTCACAAATATTTTCGGGTCTGTGGGAGACCTGCGGTATCCCATCCATAGTCGCTTGGGAACTTGTTTTTCTGTGGGCAACCTTCCCATAGAACGGGCCAAAATACTTGACGCACGAAGTGGATGACAAAGCTTGTTTGATACTCTTTAACCAGGGCCGGTCCTGTCTATTTTTGGGCCTATGGGCAGGATTATTTTGGGCTTATATTCAAGACAAATAATAAATTGTATTTATTTAAAATAATAATTATAATAAAATTATTTAATAAGGGTCATTAAATAAAAATGGAAATTATTTTATTATTATTAATTAAATTACATATTTGGTTTAAAGTGACAACACAAGTATCACATAAAAAGAAAAACATTACTTAAAAACATTTCTCACAGAATTTTCAAGATTCAATTTCTTAACAAAAACAAAATTTTCCATTGACCCCTGCTAATTTAACCATGTCTTTTCTAATCTTCTTCTCTTTCACTCTTTATCCCATCCTGATTCACCAATTTTATCAAGAACAATTTATTGATCACAGATGGATTGTTTGAAGCCTAGAAAGAAGAAGTTTTTTAATCACCGACCGTTGTTTGGGTTCCTCGATTGATTGACTTTAATTCTTAACAAACCGCTGAGACACTTACCGCTTTGCAGCGTTCTTTACTCTTGTTGATATTGGAATTTGGAAACAACAAATCAATTTGGATAAGCTTTGCAAATTGGGAGTTTTGGACTTTGAGGCCTAACGTAACTTGATAATTTTGTAATTAAAAGAATTTTTTATTGATAATTTAAAAGATTATAAAACTTAGAGATCTGAAGAGAATTAAGAGAAACATGTCACTTTACATTTATTTTAACAATTAAACCTTGTGCCAATTCATTGAGTTTAAAAATTAAAAAAAGGAGCCTAGTCACACTACATATAAAGAAATATGTTTGGACCTATTTCCCCCCCCCCCTATTTTCTTGGGCCTAGGGCGGTCGCCCCTGTTGCACCCCCTAAGGCCGCCCCTGTCTTTAACCTACGGATAGACGACTATAGACTCCCTTAGTGCACCAGGCTCAAGGACAGAGCATTGGGCAGAGAGTGAATTGCCCTTTTAACAGGTTAATATGTGGACACATACATGGTTTTAACCTACGGATATCTCTATATGGTTTGGCCCACCTTTACTTGTATTTGATGTGACTTTTTTGAGCGGGAAAATTGCTTGAAATTTTACTTCTTTTTATATATCGATAGATGTCTGATTGAGAGAGATAGTTGATGACTTTGTTTCATATGAGAATCGCAAAGTTATGAAGCGCAATACCGTAAGAGGGACCCTAATGCGCCAATAAAAGAAAGGAGAAAATTCCAGAAGAATGAGTTAAAATGATGTGAAATTTAATGAAATAATTAACGGTATTTTCGAAGCATAACAACAACTATTTCTATTTAACAAATTAAAAAATAATATTCTGATATTGAAAGTGCACATTGCTTTTATTCATATTTAGGACCATTCTTTATTGGGAAAATCGCATTTTTAGTCTCTGAAATAGTAACCATATTAAAATGTCAGACCTGTATTTCTGAGATTATAATTGTCACCACTCAATTTTTCAAATTGCTGTAAATGGGGTCTTTTGTAGCGTAAAATGTACTTCTCGTCTACATTGTACATTTCATCCATCAAAGGGTCACATTTACAACAATTTGGATAATTGAGGGGTGACATTTAGAAAGTAAGAAACACATGATGACATTTCAACATGATGACTATTTCTAGAACTAAAAGTATGATTTTCCCTTCTTTATTAATGAAGTTGTCACGTTTAAGTACCCTTAATTATGTTTCCGCATGTGACAAAAGAAAAAGAATTTACACAACACACAACCTTGAAAACAAAGGCCATCCCCATCGGACAAAAGGTCAAAAGGTACAAAATATCACAACTAGATAGACCAAAACTAGGCATTGCAATGATCAAAGGTCAAAAACCAAAAGTAAAAATGGTCAACATTGATGGGCCGATTTGTCTTCTTCTGCTTTTAACGATTTGATCATATTTATTTTGACTCGTTCCATCAACATATATATATATATATGTAGAGTGCTCTTCATGTCAGGCCGGCCTGACGGGATGCTCCGTCCGGCCGAGCCCGTTTGGGAACCTTCCCGGTGGAATTTTTTGATGAAATTTTTTGAGCATGTTCCTTATCAAGTCTAGTTTGTCCATACCAAATTTCAGCTCAAAATTCAATCGAGAAGGCATTCAAATCATTTTTTGAAGTTGACTGCGTCAAAATATACATAGAAAACTGCAGTCAACTTCAAAAAATGATTTGAATGCCTTCCCGATCGAATTTTGAGCTGAAATTTGGTATGGACAAACTAGACTTGATGAAGAACATGCTCAAAAAATTTCATCAAAAAATTCCACCGAGAAGGTGCCCAAACGGGCTCGGCCGGACGGAGCAGCCCGTCAGGCCGGCCTGACATGAAGATTTGTCTATATATGTATATATATGTATATATATATATATATATATAGAGGAATGTTCATGTCAGGCCGGCCTGACGGGCTTCTCCGTCCGGCCGAGCCCGTTTTGGCACCTTCCCGGTGAAATTTTTGATGAAATTTTTTTAGCATGTTCCTCATCAAGTCTAGTTTGTCCATACCAAATTTCAGCTCAAAATTTGATCGGGAAGGCATTCGAATTATTTTTTGAAGTTGACTGCAGTTTTATATGTATATTTTGACGCAGTCAACTTCAAAAAATGATTTGAATGCCTTCCCGGTCGAATTTTGAACTGAAATTTGGTATGGACAAACTAGACTTGATGAGGAACATGCTCAAAAAATTTCATCAAAAAATCCACCGGGAAGGTGTCCAAATGGGCTCGGCCGGACGGAGCATCCCGTCAGGCCGGCCTGATGAGAAGAGCACTCTCTATATATATATATATAGAGGAATGATTGTTGGGAAATTATTTATTATTTCAAATAAAAAGTTATTATTTAATGCTACGTATTTCAAATTGATAAGTTGGTAGTTTTGACCAGTCCACACCGTTTGGTTTAAAATGTTTTATACTCATAATACATGAAGAATTGATCATTTTAATGTGGTAAATTAATAAATGATTTGATGGAACGTGGCTTGCTTCTAAATGATTTGCCTTTTATATTATCATTATATTATGTAACTTCTGCTATAATCAGTCCAGATAATATTTTGAAGCTTAACTTTCTTCCGGATGAATTTTGAATGCATCGGAGTTTGACCGAATAAGCTGGAGAACGTGGATCGTTTGCATGGACGTCCGCGTATATCTCCTACGCTCGTGGGTCATCGCTCAACTCCAACTAATATTTTTGCTCTATTTTAAAACTTGGGCGCACGTCTATAAATATATACTTGTATATCTTTCGTAAGGGGTAGACAGATACATGCACATACACTTTACGAAGCTCAACTAGTATACTGCTTAAATTAAAGAACTGCTGGGTTACGCACAAAAGAAAATTTCTTTTCTTCCTCGTAGTTCTGGGTCCGGCGAATCAGCCGAAGAGCCCGTTATATCTTGGGGAAGATTTCCAGTCACCGGAAATACTTTCTTTAGGACAGCGTCTAACGCGTCTCGGACTGTTTTATTTTTCTAACATTATTTTGCAGGTTCCGACGACGAATATATCTCCAACAATCTAAAGAAAGTAGCACTATGGCGTCGGATACACCTACTCAAATAATCTCGGTTCCGGACACCCCCAACGGAAAAGGAGCTACAAACAATTCTGACTCGCATGTTAACATGCAATTTGAGGTCCAGCCTATCCATGCAAAACCTTTTCCCGATATTTCTAAAATAGAAGTATTTTCAGGGGCCAATTTCAAGAGATGGCAAGAACGTCTATTCTCAACGCTCGACGTGCATGGCGTTGCCGACGTTCTTACCCAGTCCATGCCGGCCAAAGACAACTCACCCGAAGGCATCAAGCTCCTTCAACAGTGGACCCACGCAAACAAGGTTTGCCGTCATACAATTCTTAGCACTTTATCTAATGAATTGTTTGATGTTTATTGTACGAAAAAGGAAGCGAAGGAAATTTGGAGTTCTATGATAGCCAAGTACACGGTTGAGGACACCGTCAAGCAGAAATTTGTAATAGGAAACTATTACAGGTGGGAAATGAAGGAGGACAGAGACATCAAGGCGCAAATTCACGAGTACCAGACGTTGTTGGAGGATCTTAAGAGCGTCCAGATAGAACTGTCGGAGCCATTCGCTGCCGGAGTCCTGGAGGGACTATAGACGAGACCTCAAACACGACTTTGGGCTTATGTCTTTCAATGATGTGATTACCCACATCATCATTGAAGACACAAACCGGAAGGAAAATGTCAAGAGTCAAGCAAAGGAATATACATCAAATGCAAACTTGGTGGAGACGGAGGACAAAGGGAGGTATGAAAATAATCATTCTAATAATAAGCCCAACTACAATAAATATAAACAAACCACAAATTTTAAAAGAAAGGGTGAATGTTATGTTTGTGGGAAACCGGGGCACATTGCTAGTAAGTGTCGAAAAAGGGCGTTTGTGAACAACAAAAAACCACCCAAACCAAGTGCAAACTTGGTTGAGGGTGATGAAATTATAACGGTGGTTGTCTCACAAACGTGTCTGGTGGTGGATGTGAAGGAGTGGGTTGTAGACTCGAGAGCTACTAGGCATATTTGCCAAGACAAAAGTGTGTTTTCCTCCTATACACCAATAGGGGATGAAGAGGAGTACATACATCTTGGGGATTCTAGAACTACCCAGGTGCACGGAAAGGGCAAAGTTAATATCAAACTCACATCCGGCAAGACATTATCACTCACCGACGTACTTCATGTGCCCGAGATACGGACGAATTTAATCTCTGTTTCACTCTTGGGAAGAGCCGGTGTCAAGGCATCCTTTGAATCCGACAAGGTGGTTCTCACTAAGAATAATATATTTATTGGAAGAGGTTATTGTAATCAAGGGCTTTCATGTTGAATGTGTCAGGAGTGTTGAAGTAATTTGTTTTCTAGTTATTGATAAATAAGTCGTGAGCTACATTTGTTTTCTATTTTATTTGCTAAATAAGTGTTGTAAGCATCTTTATGATATTACCACGTATGAATTTTAGTTTGAATAAAATCAGATTTTTAATGGCCTGTGATAGAATTTTATTCATTCATTTACATATGGTAGCAATTTTTTAATATATTAATAATGTACGGTATATTTTGAGTCCTTCGATGTCAAATTTTGCAATATGTGTTGTATCATTATGGTTTACTTGTAATTGTAATGTATGAGTATTATGGTGCATGCATGTTGTGTGGTACGGTTTTACTAGCATTCGGAAATGCACGGAGAATTTTTTGAGAATTAAATGTTGTGCCATTCTTTGATATTATACATGCATGGTACATACGTTTTTTTTCCTTTGAAAAGTATTTTGGATGACCAGATCCATATTTTATTTACATGTTTGGCATGAAATAGCAATTTTGATGTGATATACTCATATACTGAAAGTTTGTTGCAAATTCAAATTTGTAACGTTTAGATCAATTTCTTAAGCATACTATCCGCACTTGTCGTCTACGGTAATTTGATTTACATACTTTTGAAGTGTTTTGTTGCATGTATGTCCTGTTCAGTTTCAAAAGGAATATGCCTTATCGTTTTGGAATGGTTTTTTCACCGATTAAAATTTTCAGAAATGTGGGGGTACTTGATTATTTTCAGTTTTGCTCCAAATAGTGCTGCGTAAGTTTCTTCTGTGATTTAATATTAGATTAGGTGGCATCTGTCATCTGTGGGATGGATATGCAAGCAAATATTTATAAAACTAGTATCTTTACCCGTGCCGTGCATGGGATAAAACAATTTTGTTTTAATTTTACTATATATATGTGCACCCGCACACCTCACATATGTATGAGTAATTATAACTAACAGAAAGTCACTTAGTTAGTCGATTTTAACTAAAAGAGCCATTTTTTATTAACTCTCTGTTGTGCCTAAATGAATTTCGTCTTCTCAACCATCTATATCTAAACAAAAAAAATTGGTTAATGCCTATTTTTAATATCAAAATATATCAAGATTTATGTTAATATTTAATATATACACTAAATTTAAAAATATTTAATATATACACTAATTTAAAAAAAACTTTTACTCTTTCATAGATCAAATCAAAAAATTGATTCCAATTGAAAATATCTTTAATTACAATGGTGAAAACAAATTTGAGATAACATTAACATAAATGTGTATTTAGCAAACATTAACACATGAAGTCTTATTTTTTACCTACGTGAAAGATTTTATTTTTTAGCTTTATTTTACAATATAGAATGTAAGAAAAGATTTTAACGGTGCCGCTTCTACTCCATGACATCTAAAAAGAACAGGTTACTAAAAAAAGATGTTGATATCTCGTTTTAAAATGACTTTTCTTTTAGTTTTAATATTGAAAAGTCACTTATTTAGTCAATTATAACACTGATTTATAATGAATATCCAAATTTATTGAGTATGTCTATTTTTTCACTAATTATCTAAACATGTTAGCATCCCAAACAAAAAAAGAAAATGTTCAATGCCTATTTTTGTTCATTAAATTTTGTCAATATTTTTATTCAATGTTAAATTTCTTTTTGTTCATTAAATTAAAAAATGGCTAATTTTAGTTTTATCAATATTTTTGTTCAATGTTAAATTTCTTTTTGTTCATTAAATTTAAATTTTTATTTCCCGGATGATGAAAAATTGTCAATTTAGGACCTAGATGATTGAAAATTATCAATCTAAGACCTATGTTGTCATTTACCAAGTATTATTGATAGCGAAAATAAATTTACACACGTCAAAAACGAAAACAATATGAAAAAGTGAAATACAAAATGTCAAAAATAATACAGGTTTATTTGGGCAAACAGAGTACAAATAAAAAAGTTGAAGGTATATAGACTGAAAATATTGAGTCTAGATGCTATTTCAAATTTATGTTCACCTTTCTAATCAAGGATATTTTCATTGGGATGTCACAAAAGTATATATTTTGAAATCTTTTGTAAAGAAAGAGGTTGAGGGACTAATTGGTAAAAGTCTAAAACCGAGAAGGCCTAATATCTTCAATAAAATTGACTACATCTATTTTTAGATAAACAAATTACAAAAATATGTAGTTAGTTTTGAAAAAAACATTAAGTCACAAATGAAATTTAATGAACAAAAATAGGCATTGAACATTTTCTTTTTTTGTTTGGGATGCTAACATGTTTAGATAATTAGTGAAAAAATAGACATACTCAATAAATTTGGATATTCATTATAAATCAATGTTATAATTGACTAAATAAGTGACTTTTCAATATTAAAACTAAAAGAAAAGTCATTTTAAAACCAAAGTTTTTTTGGGTAAATTCGGGGTCGCAAAGTTGTAGCTTCTACTTTTTCCTCACTTGCTTGTGTCCTTTATGCTTTCTGATTTTTAAGACAGCCTTAAAGCATGTTTGGCATACATAAGTTTCTGCCTTCTAGCTTTTGTACTGTTTAAAAAGTCTTTAAAAGTTTCTAGTTGTATGTTTGGCATGACAACTTTTAAGAGCTTTTCAAAAATTAAAAGATTTTTTTTAGATGCTACATGAAGTAGCATATGAGAAAAGCCCGTGACTTTTAGTATCAATTCGTCCTAATAGCTTGTATACCAAACATGATTAAATCAAACAGTCTGCTTTTTATCAAACAACTACCACATTTTCCTTATAAGATCTTTTTAGTCATTAAAAGCTAACAGTTACTAAAAAGCTCACAAAAGTATCTTTTCAGCTAGTTGTGTCAAACATACCCTTAATTGGGTCGTTTTGTTGACTCAATTTGAATTGTCGTTTTTGAATATATGCTTTAGAACTTAATATGCCTTTATTAACACTTTCAGTCAATAAATAAAATGTTCCCCGATTGCTGCATGAAATTACGCTATACAGTAATGAGATCTTAATTTTAAAGCTTGGATTTATTTCAAAAAAGTTTTTAGTCTAAAAACTTCCATTTTTCCTATGTTCAAAATTCTTTTTATTTTTACATATGCAATATTGGTGTCATATGAAAGCTAATAAAAAATCATGAATTTTGATATACTTCTTATAAAAATTGAATTACAAATGAAAAAGTTATATCAATTCAAAAAATAGTGGGAATTCTATAAGACAATTTGAGTAGAATTCCAATAGCTTACTTCTAAACTAACTATAATAATTCTAATCAACGGCAATCCTAATCTAATTTACAAATCCTAAACTTACGAACTATAAGTAATTAATTAATTAAAATACTAATTTGGAAAGAGAATCTAGAAAATTCTAATAAATGTTTGCTTAGAAGATGACACGTGGCAAAACTTTCCATAATTGTATCTTTCAAATGTATTATCTACTATAGATTAATTTGCATGTATGTGGTGGATAACGGAAAATAGCGTGTGCAATTATTTATGCGTGCTATTACCAGGTTGATAGTTTTGTAAATATTTCGGTGGAATATAATATAAGACAACAATATTTTAGTCTTATATTGATGATGCTCAAATGGTGAATTTGTTAAAACGAACAAATTATATATGTGATACCCGACTTAATGTCGGAAGATTGAGCAGAATATAGAAACACAAAAGTGTATTTGCTGAGCTTAGCCATTGTATTAAAGTGATACAATGATGATATAATTTTTAGATGATATTGTTGTATGTCGACTACAATGATATCATATGAAACATATGAAATATAAAATTGTCATATAACTATGACAAGTGGAGTAAAAAGTCTCCTTTGGCCGAAATCCTAGGATATTATGATTTTTTCACCGAGGGAAATGGACTGTCACTTGTTAACAAATAGGGATGGTAACTCAACCTGTGTGATTGGAGATCCCATGAAGCAGGTTCATATGGGTAATAACAAGTCTTCTATTTGTTCCTGCTAGCCTATTATGTCCATTTCTAGGGTGAGGCTAGACTGCATTCGCTGTGAGGCTGAGCTAAAACTCTTAATGATTTTCATAGCCTTATGGCTGGTGTGTTAAGTGCAGAACACACTTGATGAGGTCACCTATATAAGTGTGAGGTGGGGCCGCCTCCATGAAGCATGACAACGCTTCTAGAGCACTCAAGAATACCAAGCACGCGCACGGCCTAAAGGCGCAACACGGCGTTAACGCGAGGAATTGTGGGGGGTGAGACATGGCCATTAAGACCCTGACTTACCATAGTAGCTTACTGGTTCATAGAAACTATATGTTTCACCAGAAGCTCGGTTTGTAAAGACTTAATCGTCTCGGTTTGATTCATAGTCTTTGGACACCAGACTTAAAGTCCCGTTCCCGTTAATCCAGCAGATTTTCAAAATTATTTTAACCTCAAATATTTATTTGAAATATGTGGGGGATTGTTGGGAAATTATTTATTATTTCAAATAAATAGTTATTATTTAATGCTACGTATTTCAAATTGATAAGTTGGTAGTTTTGACCAGTCCACACCGTTTGGTTTAAAATGTTTTATACTCATAATACATGAAGAATTGATCATTTTAATGTGGTAAATTAATAAATGATTTGATGGAACGTGGCTTGCTTCTAAATGATTTGCCTTTTATATTATTATTATATTATGTAACTTCTGCTATAATCAGTCCAGATAATATTTTGAAGCTTTCTTCCGGATGAATTTTGAATGCATCGGAGTTTGACCGAATAAGCTGGAGAACGTGGATCGTTTGCATGGACGTCCGCGTATATCTCCTACGCTCGTGGGTCATCGCTCAACTCCAACTAATATTTTTGCTCTATTTTAAAACTTGGGCGCACGTCTATAAATATATACTTGTATATCTTTCGTAAGGGGTAGACACAGGGGCGGAGCGAGGGGGGTCAGTCGACCCCGCTGAAAGTTTGAGAGCATAGAGCTCTGAAATATCTTCGATTTGATATATTATGGCCCCCGTAACTCATTACGAGTAAAAAGTTATGACTTCTGCAAAATCGGCACTATCTAAACGTAAAATCAGCAAAATTTGATGAGTAATATTGATTTTTTTCCCCAAATTTTAAAAATAACGTATAATTAACTCATTACTTATGTGACATGACTCAAAAATAGAGCAAACTCAGTC